GATTTTGATCACTCACCCAGTTTTACTTAATTGCTGTCTGTCTTGTGACATTATTTTTGAACGCATTTATTAGGATTTGAACTGACAATTTTTACTTTGCAGAGGAGTTATGTTAATTTTGAATTCTCTCCAGACAGTCGGACTGAATCTCTGGTTATGTGAACTTTGTAAACATTCGAATGAGATTAATTCTTGTCCGAAAGTTATCATTAAAATAACGATGTTACTAGATACCATGTCCCAACTTTGAACAACTTCTAAGGAGGCTTCGTAAACGTAGAGATGTATGTTAGCACCTATGACTTACAAGAAAATAAACACTAAACATGAACTAATTACCAGTAGTCAAACCTAAAAGTGTCTTACTCTGTGATCAAATTGAGACTGTTTTATCAGTGCAAAAATATCAATATAAACAATGTGAGCAATGATGAAGTATGCATTCCACATCCATTCATCTTTGCTTCTTTCTATCAAATATCTTAACTTCAAAATATATTCCAAGTTGGGCATATAGCTTTTAGCTTGAGCTTCGTGGTTTTTGTGTCTGTAACGGATTTTTTTGGGGGTAGGGGGTTGCTAACCTCACTACCAAACTGTCCTCTTAACCAAGCTTACTACCAGCTCAGTGAGGTTTAGGAGAACGTTTACTGGCAATTATCCCTGAGACCGAGTGAGTGGTTGACGAGTATTCTACTACTGCACCGTCGATGTGAAAAAAGTACACTTTATACATATTCTGTTATTATTCGATTCAGGGCCTGCAGTTATAATAATCATTTCTAAGCAGTATTCATCACCTAATGATTTTAGATTTTACAGGACTACTTGACCAAGTTTCGCAACTTAAGTATTTTTCTTCTTGATATGTGATTTCATATATTTTTTTATCATTTTATATTAAAAGCTGACCTTTTACAACATTACATAGCCGTACAAATTTTGATGTAAAGTTACTTAAAGAATATTCTTTGCTGATCAGTGTATGTTATATTTTATTCGAAAATGCTATTCCCTCATCAACATTAATTAGAATAAGAGAAGTCTAGCGTGTGAATATTATTCATACTATCAGTACATTCAGACTGTGTGTAGTTTACAAATTTTGATTAATTTCGACCAAAGATATCTCCATCGGTGTGAAATACGGAAAAGTTCCAATTCACGACAAAGCATATATTTAGTTACCTCTGATTCTGATTGACTCTCTAAATGGTTTTTGATTACATTGACAAACACTACATAAAAAATCCCTACACATCTGAAGTCTGCTCACTAATGGTTAATAAATAGGTGTTCTCTAGTTGCGTCCTCATAGTACCTCACAGATGTTTGATTCGATCTTCAGTAGGCACGTCATTGTGCACCGTTGAAGGGTTGCAAATTAGGATTAGACCACTCTAAAGTGGTTCCCTATTTGATATCCAAAAGTCATGAAATCTACATATGAATGCACTACTGTTCCGAGTCTGTGACATATGCACTTCTGCGAGTAGTTTATTAAGGTATTTTTTACTTTCCTATCTTGTCTCATCCTCCAACTACTTACCTGTTCCAACATAAACGATTATTGATAAACTGTTTCCGTTTGGGCAGTTTGCATAGTTAAAATAAGTTCCTGGAAGTAACTCATAAAAGTGCTTAGAATTTCATGTATCTAACTGGTGAATGAATTCGTTGAAAATATGCTGCGTAAAAAACTGAAGCTTTGGCCAACACCAAAGGTACTATGGTATCATTGAGTCGAAAGAATGACAGGTAACTAAATACCCAGGATTATTGTATGTCATAAGAAGAGCGAAAACCAAGAGAGTAAATTTGTAATGATGCGGCTGATTTGTCTTCATTACTACTTACGGTCCACCATAAACCAATTCACCTGTGTAAACATCTGTATTCGATAAATTCATTAACTTAGTTGTACTGCCGCAGTTATATTAAATTATTTTTGTATGTTTGTTCACACTGGTTTGATCAAGAAAGGATACAAACTTTTAGGGTTATTTAATTTAATCCTAGATTTCTCTCTTGATTGATTGGACAAAAGTGCTTGATCTCAAATTGACATGTCGGCTCCCCGTGAAGATGCTTCAACGATATGTGGTCATGTAACTTGAAGTCAGTCGGTCGGTCGTGACTTACAGTGGAATCCAGGATGTGCATTTCGTCCTAATCGGGACTTGTCTACTGGATGTACCTGCATTCCCCAGTGAGTGATGGTGTTCCCACCAAGGCTCGAACTCAACCAACATCCACCAGTTGACTTCGACTTACATAACCTAAACACCGTCTGCACAAGAAGTCGACATGTCAACCTGAGACCAGTCAATTCGATCCAATCAATCGACGGGAAAACCTAAAATTGAATTAAGCAATTAATATGACCCATCGCACAAGAGGTGGCTTTCATCATCCAGGTAGTTTGGTGGATAACGCTTTGTCATTAACATGATAGTAGAAGTTTGTAAACTACAGTAACCATATTTTGTTGTCATTCCATCTAAACGCTAACAAGTACACTGGTGGTTATTGGCATAAAATTTGGTAAATTTGTAAAATGTGGAATTCTCTTTTATGGTAGTCAGTCAATCATTTAGTCGATCGGTTGTTTGACATTTCACATCATCTCCAGGATAAAAAAATGGGCAGGTTTCAATTGGTAACAAGACTGTTGGCAATAAAAAAATGAATTTACTACCTAAGTTACTATGTAAAGCAAATTTTTTTCTGACGTTTACCTGTAGCATATGGACTAAGTCTTTTGATGGACAGACAAAATTTTAAGTAATGCAGTAAGTTGAGGAAATCTTACAGAATAAATTATTTATGTGAAGTTGAGAACTACGTGAGGATAGCCTGACCTTACAGTGCACTGGTCCGTGGACCAGTATCAATCTTGATGCTATTGAAAACAAACCAGAAATGAAGACTAATGAATGAAACTTGATTTTATATGATATGTGGTAGTACTTGTATGATCCAGGCGCTAAGTCAGAATTGAATGACCTACGTATTGCAAATATGGCCAATCCAGAAATCAATCAAATTCTCAATTTCCAAATTGGTTAGTGATTTTTTAGATTACTTCAGAATTTAAACAGCTCAAGGGGATTATTTCACCACAGTTCATTTTGGGATCCGATATTATTTAGATCACAACATGCAACCTGCTTCATACCATAAATCGTATTCAAGAAGTCTAGCATAAGTGCGTAAAACCATAAACTTCCTAGCCCGTGAAGCTGATGTAATCCAAATACTGCTATTTCGCTGGTTCAAGGTCGATCTCACCGGCAGTATAGTCAAATCTGACTTAGTTCAGAGAGTTGAATCAGTTCAAACCATCCGACTAACCAAAAATATAGTGCCTCTCTCAACCAATGGGGTAGGTATTTGTCTCTCGTCATAATACACATCCATGGAACTCAGGTTTTAGGGAATTAAACTTATGGTCGGTGGCTTTATAAAACTTAATATTCATGAATTACTGGACCCCTGAACTAGGGACTCAAAGGTAATTCACTCACATAGCAGCTTGAAGGCCTCGGGTAAACCCACAATGAGATGATGAGAGTGTGCTGCTAGAAAGCCGCCAACTAGGATCTCCAGTGCTCTGAGGCTGTCAGTGTTCCACTGACTACTGTAGGGTAACAATTAAGTCTACCTTGGAATTATCTGCAGTCAGTTTATTTATTTGTTTAGCAACCCTACGCATTTTTATCGAAAAGAATATAGATTGTGAGTCAAATTGCTACACTAAGTTCATTAATTCTGAAGAAGATTTTTACAGCGTTGACCATGAATTGTTTTGTAAATGGCCTAAATACTGTGGTGTACACAAAAGCTTTATCAACCTCGTTTAACAGCTATATGATCTTGCCGTATATCAAGTGATTCGTAATCGAAAACCCAGAGAAGCCATTTGAAATGAACAAATTAATAAGAGAAGGCTGCCCTACTATTAACCATGATAGTTCTGACTGTAGTGGAATGAATTATTCGGCAGGCAGCGAGGAGCGATAAAAAAGGAATACATTAGACAGATAAGAATTCTCTAAGATCATACTAACTTAAAGATCTAGAGGCGGAAAGTAACAGGTTGGTGGAAAAGGAAGACAATGAAGACAGGACTCCACGCGAACATAGAAGAGATGGAGGCGATCAAGACACCAGAGTACCAAGAACAACAGCAAGCACAAATCAACGCCAACGGAAGAAACTGGAATGAGAACACTTCTCTCACTCACTAATTTATTTACTTACTTACGCTCTGTGGAGGCTATTGAGTGACACCACGCGCCAAGCGCGCCTCAAATGGAACTTAAATCGAAAACGATAATTTTAACATACGCAAGTGACATCAAGGAGATGAAAGTTTATGGGTATCAGTGGAACCAGATAGAGAGAACTACAAAGAATGGGAAGAATGATGATATGCTGTTCATGCCTGCTTTTGCACTAGGAAGAACTCAAAGGAATAATTTATTATTATTTTCTTTAATTCCTAGAGGAGCATAGGGTTTCAGCTGCGCGTCTCCCTTGCGTTCGGGTTTCCGTCAAGTTTTTCACCCCGCTCAAAGTCACCCTTAAACTGACGACCAACTCGCCGCCTCTCTTTCGGGTTCCGCTCGAGCCCTGGCTTGTCTAGTGATGTCACTTGATGGTTTCCTCAGAATATGGACAATCCATCTCCATTTCTTCCTGCCTATATGTTGAACAATCGGTTCCTGTTTGGTTCGCTCCCAGAGATCCCTGTTGCTGTATTAGTTTATTCACTTGTTGCTGCTGGATAGTGTTTTATTGTACAAGGCAACTTATACAAATTCCAAACGTTATCACACTAATTAAATTCAGTGATTTTATGACTAACTAAAGCAAGCAACAAATAAAATCTGTCATTCTAACCAATCAAATAACACTAAAAAATGTGAACCAATCAAAATCAAAATAAATGTAGTATGTATACCTGTTAGAATAGTGATTGGTTAAATAACAGAAGAGTTTAACATAACTTAAAACGTGTTCATCGGAAATAGAGTATCAGAAATGTTTACTAGAATAAAAGAACACATAGATATTATGTAACATGATCGTTTTATCAACATTTATAAATTTATAAATATTTATTACTGGTATCCAGCATAAATTCAATTCGGAAAATTATGTTTACAATTATTTCAATTCTGCTCATTTCTAGTTATAATGCCTACAACTGATTGTGGAAATAATCACAATTATGGTATTAAATTCCACTCAAATACATTTTTACAAATAAGATTAATTCATTTTTTATTTGATAGTAATTATATTTTTCAATATATCTATTTACTGATATTATTAGTAACAGAAATTAATTGCAGTAAACAATTAGATGTAAATACATCAATGAATAACAATAATAATCATTTAATGACGTCGAATCAATTATCACAGTCATTAAATCAATACCCTGTGCATAATACACTGCACGCAAATGACGACATGTTAATGCCTGATAATGATCCTTTATCCCTGACGTCGTCATCATCATCAACAACAACGACACTACAGCTTGCATTTGTTGTCACTGAAGAAGTACCAATTGGTACGATAGTAGGCAATATACTGAGTAAATTACACTTACAAAATCCTAATTGGTTAATTACAAACACACTGAGTCATAGTAACAGTAATAATAATGGGAATAATAAGAAAAGTAATCAATTTATTAATTTAAAACCAATTCCGTATATTAGTTTAAATCAGACGACTGGTGATCTGCTTGTACGTACACGTATTGATCGTGAATCGTTGTGTGATACTATGGGAACATGTTGTCATACGGATAGACAAAGTGACTATCAGTTATGGTCAAATTATAAATTGGATATAAGTAATTATGATAAATTAACTGGACAGTTGTCATTGATTTCACCAAACTGTGTACTTCGTATGCTTGTACTGCTTCAGTTAGATAAAGAACAATTTATAGAAATTGTTATTTACGTATTAGATATTAATGATAATCCACCAAGATGGGTACAATCGGTAATTGAGTTAGAGATACCAGAACATGTATCTATTGGAACAAGTTATCAGTTACCTGAAGCTATAGATCCTGATCAAGGACCAATGCATACAGTAATAGCCTATGAATTACAAAATAAACCAGTGAAAGAGGATACTGGTCCTACTAGTCCAAATCATTCAAACAGAAATGTAGTCACAAAACAACCATTCACTTTAGATGTACATGCTTTAGAAAATTCAAATTCTGAAATGCAAAAGTTTTCATTGAGACTGCGTGTTGAAGAGGATTTAGACAGAGAAACCCAATCATCCTATGAACTGATTTTATATGCGATTGATGGAGGTGATACTCCTGGTGAGACACATACAAAAATGTCTTACACATCTAATGGTAATAGACCATTGTCTAATACGCCGAATAAGCATACAGGTTCAGTTTTAATTCGTGTACTATTGATGGATAAAAATGATAATCCACCAGTGTTCAAGAATCCTCATCCAGTTGTAATTATTCCAGAGAATACTAAACCAGGTGCTGTCATCTACCAGGTATCAGCTAGTGACTTAGATTCTGCTGATCATGATTCTCTAGTCTACAAGATTGGACCATCAGCCAGCCCTGAAGTTCAGCGATGTTTTAGACTGAACTCGAAAACTGGAGAATTGATCCTTATTATGCCATTGAGTTATCAAAATGCTAGTTTACTCCCAGCACAGGATAACTCAAATGTAAATATGAATCTAAATAGTAGGATGGATATTACAACTACTACCTCTACAGGCTCACAAATGGGTCATATTATACCTATTCAAGTCAGTGATCAAATACACATCACACAAATGTTGTTAAGAGTGGTTCTACGGAAGATAAATATGAATCCACCAACTATTCATGTTGCCTCTCATCTACGCTTATCTTCAAGAGGTAATCAAATATGGATAGCTGAAGATACTCAGCCTGGCTCTCTTGTCGCTATGATTAACGTAATCGATGCAGATGAACTTATACCACAAGCTAGAACAAATCAAATGTTAGGCAATTTTTACAAGTCTGAATGTCGAAGTAAACACGAGTTGTTTGATATTGTACCACTGCATACAGCGACTAATTCTGATTTTAGGATATTGTTGAAAAAATCACTGGATCGTGAAACAAAATCATCACATACAGTGAAAATTGAATGTTGGGATTCTGGGGAACCCCCACTGACTGCTGAGACTAGTATCCTGATACAAGTTGATGATGTGAATGATTCACCACCAGTGTTTGAACGTCAATTCTATTTTGCTAAAATTAAAGAAGGTCTTGACGCTTCAACGACTATTATACAGGTACGTGCTACTGATGCTGATTTAGGCAAAAATGCTGAGATTGTATATCGATTAGTAAATCAAGAGTATACACCAGCTATACCTTTACCAGAATCAATATGCTCTTCAATGAATACCCTACACTTTGATAATAATCTAATAATGATTAATGAAAACACTGGAGAGTTGATCAGTCAAATATCTTTAGATCGTGAAAGTATATCATCGATTAATTGTACAATTGAAGCAATCAATCGAAATCAATTGTATGTGGATAATGAAAATCAAAAATCGTCTGAGTATAAAACATCAACACAAGTTATTATAACTATTGAGGATGTTAATGATTGTAAACCAGTCTTCAATGAATCATCTTATGAGTTCACAGTTGTCGAAGGTCAGAAATCTCATCATCAAGTAAGTTGGTGTAGATAGAAATGTATAAATTGCTGTTTCATTGTCTTCTCTGCTATGCGAGTGTTTTGTTTACAGAAATTTTCATTAACCATCCAGACAAGGGCTAACTTCAATGTGTTCATCGAATTATCTAACTGTCTCTACTAATGACCATGAATGTGATTGTATGTCTTCGAAGGTACACAATTATTGATTTAGTGATGCGCTTTGCATATGGAAGTGAGGCCAGCGACCCTGCACCACAAAACCAAAACAGGTATTATTGATATTTGGGAGCTTGAGCTTGAAACCCTGTGTTCAATGCGAAACATGAAGGAATGAAAATTAGGGACCATTGGAACACAATTTTGACGTGCTCTAATTGTCATCAGTGAATAAAGAATAATGTAACGTGATGTGTTGTATCACACAGACATTATTCTATTGTCTAGTAATAATCTATCACAGTGCTCAAATCCAATCTTCATGTCTTCTAAAGGGCTCTATTTTATCCTTCTGTTAATTCATAGTGGTTTTGATTCGGCAACTGATTTCATCACCCAATGAGTTGTTCTTTACTGAGTGATAAACTTGATCCATGTCAGCATGTCTGTCGAGAATATATTGGTTTTTGCATCTGACGTTTAGGGATTTTTCTTAGTACTGTTAATATTTCCAATGTTTCAAAAATTTGTACATCTTCCCAGGTAAATTAGCCCCTCATATATCCACATGTGTTGACTGGTATGGAGAAATATAGATATATATTGTGCACTTTGACAGCTGGTTTATGTTCTTCGATTCAAGTTTGAAGGATTCACCCACTTTGACCGATAGAGTACTTTCTACAGCTGAGACACGCATGGGAATTACTCTTTTCCATAAATTCATGGATCTTATTTCTCCAATAATCTTTTCACGACAATTCCACATGCTTTTATTTAAAAAGTATATGAATGTTACTCAGGATGAATATATATATATATAGGGAGAGTTGAGGAACGAAGATGGGTTACATGTTTATCTTCTGATTGTTTACATGCTAAGATTCATACAGTGATTGGTCTGAAAGGATTCGACTCATTCCATGACCGGTCATGAACTTACTTCAATTAGAGGACCATCAAAAATCAGTAGAGAATAGCTTTTTAGCAACGCAGAGTGATTTAGAAAACCACTGAAAACCAGGTTGGATCATTGGATGGTGGTCATATTATAAATCGCGAATTGTCAGAAGCTTAAATTCATCGGCCATTCATAGGTCTCATCACAGTGATTGAATGGTTAACAAACTCACTGTGTACCCAGGATATCCTGGATTTGCTTCCAAATGGAATATTTAGTGCTGTTAAGCCCATTTTTTCCTTCACGTTCCCCAGTGGAATATAGGGCTTCAAGCTAGTGGCTTTAAGTTTCTGCAGCAGTATTTAATTTTACAGGATAAGGTTGCTAGCCTCATGCCTGACCTTTCCTCTTTACTAGCATTATTTCTGGCTTAGCGAGGTTTGTGAGTGCATCGGCCGGGAATCGAACCCCGAACTATGTGCGTGGTCGGCGAGCATCGTAACCGCTAAGCCGCCGACGTTAGTTAATTCCATAACCATAACGAAACAGCTGACTGTCTTCAGTGGTTCTCTAACTGAATTTAATTCTCCTGATCATTTATGAAATTGATTGAGTGATTTCACGGATTAACAGTTTGCTAGCTATTTCTATTGGAAACTAACCTTAGTATTCAAAGTATTTTAACAATTTATTTTACTGAGACACTGAGTACAGAAAATATAAAAACAGCCAATAAATGTTGGAAAATTGTTTTTCTGTAGTCAGTGTATATAATGAAAGCATCTAAGTGGAAAAGCTTTTTTTTGTAATGGTTATACTGAAGGCGATATTGTCACCATCGTGTTATCAAAACCACTGCATATTACGTAGGATGGAATTATGCTATAAAAATACAGAAGAGGAAGTGGGTAATCCGGTGGCCTGATGAGGAAGTGAATTGTACGTTTTTACGATTTCCTTTGCGATGTGACAGAATAACAATTGAGTGTATAAGCACTTTCATCTCTTTGTCTTTAAACAAAAAATTTCAGACTTTATACTATTATATTTGTTTTGAAAAGATGAATGACTATCATCTATTGGAGGCGATTTTAGAATTCGTGAATTGTCTAAAGAGCAAGTCTATCGATCACAGTATAGCCTTCATATGAAAATCAGAACTAAAGTTGCAAGCCAAGAGAGGTTCTGTTGAGCATCGTCAAGAAGGCTGAAGCTATAGAATTTAAAAGTTTTCACTATCTACAAGAGTTATGCACACTTTGGGTCTACTGAGTTAAAAACCCTACCCAGGGTAATTTAAATTTTCTAAGCGTTTATAATCATTAACCGTGTGTTGAATCTTCGTAAGTGGACAAGTTTAAAACTCAAGTAAACATAAAGACAGCAGGGGTGATGAAGATATCCAGCCAACAGGAGGAACCCAGAGAGGGTCATCTCATTTCCTGGCCTGTGCAGCATCTTTTCAACTGCAGGCAACATGAATGAGAATACCAGACACAGTCAGGTTCTAATCAGCAAGGCATGTCACTATCCCACTACTCTAAATTCAGCGTCGAAATCCAAAGCATGCAGTATAAGGAAGAAATTTCGAGTTTTCAACACCTATGTCAAATCGGCGCTCAGAGACTTAGCTCACATGTGCGTCGCCAGAAGATTTCCATAGTACAACTGGAGATCATTAGCAGCTGTGATCGCTCCATATTGCGGATCAAGGGACTGGTTGAAAGGAATGATCAACCAAAAACTCCTGGAACGAATCAACTAAGAAATATCAAGAAAGAAACAGAAATGAATCGAAAATGTTCTGATGTGACCGGTGTGCAACGTCTGTCTTCGGACGCATGAGGGGATCCTGAATAGGAGACGACACGTGACGTGGGCGAAATGGTCTGACTAGGAAACAAAACTTGTTGGAAGTAGTAGAATCAGTTCAAAGAGACTTCGAATCTCAGTGTGCGTAGGTGGTTTAGGAATGGGATTCTTGCAAACCATGCAACTTATTCAGTTCTCGTCTGACGTACTCGTACACCTTACCTAACTGGTAGTGAGCCCGGAAAGGAAGAAAACGTGAGCGTGAGCATGCAACAAAAATAACACGAGAACTCCTCAAGCTTTCATGCTGAACCCTGAAGACCTATGTTCCACTCAGAACACAAGGGAATAAAGAAAGTGATTTTTTCCCAATTGACTCTGTCGGATTCATAAGCGGATATGGTTCATTTTTGAAAGGGTTGTTCGGTTTTTGATGTTACTCTAATTCTTGCTTTCTTAATGATTGTGTGTTATCTATTAGACACGAAGCATCATCCAGTTATTATTACTATGTCAGTTACAGACTATTATACCTTATTACCTGAATTCTACTATTACATTATTGATTACAGATTATTAAACAACCTAAGTAATCAACCGTCAGTCGTGCCGACTATTGTTACTTCATGAGAATGAATTCCAAGACCTAGGATAACGCTGTTTCCTCTTTGTAGGCTGCAAGTCTCCCTGTAGCATAAAACACATTGTTTGTTTTCTCTTCTTAGCATCAATCTCTATTAGTATTATTATTATTCATTGAGGTTCCGAGTGGAAGATATGGCTTCAACAGAACATTCGCACTCCATCCCGTTTCCTGAAGGCCTATAAGCTCTAACCTCCTTCTCACAATATCTCCTCTGTTTCACATTCGGACGCCCAACTCGTATCTCAATTCGCATTCGGGTTCCACTCGAGGCTCAGAAAGACCCATGATGTCCCACAATAGGTTTCCGAGTGCGTGTCCGATCAGTCTTCATTTTCTTCAGCATATTTCCTAGAAAAAAGCTCTTAGTTCGTTCCCTCCTTGACTTCTTTATTTCTAATTATTTCCTGCTGGCCATCTAATTATCACCATAGGGAGAAGTGAACAGCTGCTGATAAAACTCTTAATTCTGTTGAAAATGTTTTTGTTGATGCTCCAATTTTGTCAACCACATAGAGGCACTGATTTGACACTAGTGTTGGAAATGTGATTCTTGTTCTCAGCACTGACTGCAGCTAATTTCCAGACTGCTTTTAGAGTAAAGAAAATGAGTCCTGTCTTTGCTATCCTCGCTCACCCTGATATCTTCATCCGTGCCACCTGCTCGTAGCAGAAACGGTGCTTGCTAGATAGCTGAAGGGGATGACTTCTTACAAATTCATTCTTATGATGATGAATCCATTTGTTCCTCCGTGGGTATCTTCAGCAACTCTGTTTTGTCTATATTCACCTAAAATATTGTCCTCACTGCTTTTTTTCGCGAGTCTGTAATAATTAGTAATAATTTTTCCTTCACATTCCCAGTGGAACATAAGGCTTCAAGCTAGAGGCTTGAAGTTTCCGTAGCAGTGTTTAATTTTACAGGATGAGTTTGCTAGCCTCATGCCCAACCTTTTCTCTCTATCAGCATTATTTCTGGCTTAGCGAAGTTTGGGAGTTCGTCCACCGGGGGTCGGACCCCGGACCATGTACATGGTCGGCGAGCGTCCTAACCACTGTGCCACCGACGCACACCTGTATTAATTAGTAGGCTGAAATAATATTACAAAATGAATTATCCAATTTTTCTCCTGAGAGAGGGAAAAAAACAGTTCAATACTATCTTATCAGTGAATACTATTTCGACGCATCAACTGAAGCAGTCAAAAACCACATATGGGGAAAAACGCGTACGCCATCTTCAGATTGGTTATTGTTATTATTATCATCTTAGTTTGACCTTTTCTCTGAAAATGGTATACAGTGTAGATAGTGTATTTTTCCCCGTCAGCCACCTACCACTCTCTCTCTCTCTTTCTATCTCTCATTAGTACATTTTGACACATAAAATTTTCCTCCTACTGACGCATTTATTCCCTTCTTCACATTTCTGAATTATACACCTGTATTATTTAACTAGTGATTAGCTTCATTTCTGTATATTATAATGTAGGCATAATTG